TAGTAAATACGATATAAGTGTTGCATTAAAATGGGTGACCATTTTGGAAAACGGGCACAATGTTCATTTTGTTTTAAAAAATGAGAATGTCTTGAAACAAGGACAGGTGGATGTTATCACAAGTTCATGAGCATATTTGAATGTATAAAGGTCTATTCACACTAAACACAATGGTTTGAGTTACAAGAGGTGATGATGTAACAAAATAATAGTTTTGATCAATAGATTTTACACTGGATACAATACAACATGTTATACTGGAACAACAAAATAAAAAACAGAATTGAGCTCTGCAAATTTATTGCTTGACAATTGGAGAGCTGAAGAATCAAACAAAAGTGACATTCCCAGGGGGCAGGCAGGCACAAATACAAGATTACTATCAAGAGAGTGAAATGGTCCCTTTATCACACTTCTGTTTCTTTCTGGTCTCGCTCCATGGACTGCATACTGCAGTTGAGGTTTTTATGAACAGTGTGAAATTGCTTGGTTTTGGTTGTGATGGTTTTATCATCAAGAGTGCCTTAATAGCCTTTCTTCTGTACAGATTAAAGAGATTACATTCTTAAATCTGTCTATATCTGACACACCTTTGACTTTACAGATTCTGCATACTCTTCTTTAGGCCTCCCTGAAGTAGTTTTTTACTCAGCAGGTAAAGAGACAAAACTGGACCCTGCATGGTTAAAAAAAAGCCATGAGGGTTGTCCTGTAAATGTATCTTGTATCAATCAGTTTACTTCCTTATTATTACATTTAAATATGATCCCAAGCCTAAATCCAATTTCATTGTATTACCTGTAGTCTAACAACGGCTTTATTAATGTGATGTGTTTTGCTGTCATATCTCAGTACTAAACTGATTTTTTGGGGTCTAAGCTGTATATGTCAGCATCTGAGTGTATTGAACTAATCACACTTTAGTATTTAAAACTGATTATTCTGTTTTTAAGCAACCAGGGATATAAACAAAGCACTCTTGTGTAACAAGATATATATAGTAAGGGCCAATATACAGAAATACTGTTTATCCCTTTTAAAGGTTAGGTTTGAGCACTGGCTTGAAGAAAAATAGAAGACAATTTAGTCTTTCCATATATCATAAGTTCCTGTATTAAAGCTTTGTATAATTTACTGCATAGCTGATTCTGAAAACCTCATATAATATATGTTAGTTCATTTGATTCTGGAATATATAATCTAATCTTCAAAATACACCTCCAGTCCTTCAAAATCTTATCCAGGTACGTGAATAGTCTTAATAGACTATCTCCATAGGGTGAAATTCCCTTTAATATTTAGTTTAAATAAGTTGGTTTTAAGGGCTGTTTTTAATAACTTTCTGTGTCAGTAGTTCTCAACAGCATTAAAAGTGCTGAACACAGTGTCATTAAAACCCAACAAATCGCATCTGGGGGCTTTTCTTGCAGCAGCTGCTGTTGAAATTTTAGAACCTTTGCAGACCTGATAACATCAGACCTGACAAACTTGATTTGTTGGCTCTTTGTATTGAGAGGTTTATGCAATGGTTACAGCTTGCAGGTCGTGATGTTCCTTTAACTTTGAAAGGAATATTACTTGATTCATCACTATTAGTATTAAAGGCAAAAGCTCTATTAATACTGTATCATCTGTTGCATAATAACTAGTACTAAATGTCACAATTTCTGATGAGTTGGGAGAGTATGGTTATGACCACACTTGACATATGGCCTGGATACTCCTGGACTATGGCATATACATAATCATATATTTTATTACCTGCTTCAGGTAGATTTAAAGGAACCTTTTTCTTAAGCACTGAAAATAGAACAGTTTGATGGGAATATACTGGAGAACAGAATGATCTGATGAGTCCTTAGCACCATCTTTTGGAATGATTTAACTAGACACCTGGAAAAGCTAAGTCTGTTGTCACAGGTTACTCATACTCAGTAGATTGTGTACATGTAGATGTGGTGCAGCTCTGGGAGTGATACGTTTGTATTTATGTTAAGAAATATTTGGCAGTTTAATTTTTGTGATGTTTGCAATATTATATAAGAATAAGATATAAGATATATCCACTCCAGACATGACAATTATAGCAACACAATAGGCCGCTCATGCTGTATCTGAAGTATAAAAGGACACAGAAATGTCCTTTATTTT